TTATTTTGGCCCCAAAAACTTTTTGTGTTTGACACAAAAATATTCATTGCCGGCAGCCCACAACGAGCGGACGGCAGTCAAAGCCAACAACTATTGGCCATTTACTGGTTGCACCACAGTCGCACACTCACACATACAGTTGCAGATATTGCTAGAGTTCGCTCTCTCTCTCTCTCTCTCTCTCTATGGTTGTTTATTTTCCAAAATTTTACTCACGCTCTTTGTTCGGTTTTCAAGCAGGTGGTTAACAGCTTTTCGACCATGTCTGTATTCGTTTCAATTGTTCCAGATACACTGACCAACTCACTGAAACCCATAGAAAATAAGCTGCTTTGAAAAATAAAAACTCTTCAAAGAATACTTCTCCCCAACCGATGTCGCATGTACAGCATTAAGTATTTTTGCAAGATTTTTCATATTCCATGTGGCATTTATGTGCAACTTCTAGGAATACAACGTTTGTGAGCATTTCTTGAAACACCTCAATTTGAAATTTCTACGAAATTCAGACGAACTTGACCTGTAGTTGAGTTTTTTCAATAGAAAAATATAGCTATAAGGAAGCCGCAGGCCGCAGTTGCCACGCTTATCTTTCGTAAATAAATATATAAAGCTTTGTGGATATAAATAAATTACTTTCTCGGTATTCTATATACATATTGTATGTTTGTATGGTTTATATGCGATATGTACATATGTACATAGCATACAACAGGTTTGTCCACATTCGACAGACCCATGATTCCTTAGCTTTAAATCAAAGAAAAACATTATTTTTTGATGTTGATGATGATAATCATTATATTTGATTGAAGTAAATTTGTTAACAACACATTTTGCATATGATATCTCTTAAGTAGCCGCCTTGAGTTTGTACGGCGTATTGTGCGCGTATCTGTCAAAAGGTTGAATCAGGACAACCCTATATACATATTTATAGTGTATTTATTTTTATTTTTATTTTTTTGTCGCACAGTTTGCAATTAAATTAAATATCGCATAAAAACACTCAATGCAAATTGGGTATACAATGTCAGCGATGCAGCTTTAAGCCTGCTGTCATTTAAGTGAGCCCAGACAGACAGCTCGACTGGCTGCCAGACAGTCACAGGTTGGGCTCCACTCACGGCCCACGCGCCTGTTCCCACTGCTCAATTCCGGCGGAGCATAAATATTTACAGGCGTGTTTGTTAAATGAATCATGGTAGAGCTAAAATTCTGCAGTTGCACGTGAAGAAATTTCGAATTTCAATGGTTGCCGTAATAAAATGTTCACTGTCTACAGTTTGAGCAACTAACTAACTTAAATTATTTTGTCAAAATATATTTAGTGCTCTTTGCTTACACTTAATTAATATCAAACGGGAGTTGAATAGGTGAAATTGAATTTATTTGTGTCCATAGGCAAATAACTGTCTAATTAGAAGAGTTTGCGCACAAAATGTTCAATTATGTTCAATATGCAACTCAATTACAAACATTTTCCAATTACATTTTTACAGTACTCTGTTTTTGTTTCATTAAATTTGCAGCCGAAGTTTGCACTTAAAGCATCACATGACAATCGAATATTTGTTCAGTGTGGTTGCCAGCACCACAGTAACACCTGCCAGTGTTCGCAGCACTTTGGGTGGGGCAGGCAGCATGTGAAAATGCAATTAAGCTGTAAATATGGACTTATACATATATATGTATATGTGTATATGTGGGTGTGTGTATATATAGATGGCACTCTGATTATTTGGCAGAATAACAGAAAAAGGGAAAATAGAAAGCGATAAAGAAAAGAATACATTAAAAATTTGGATCATCATAAACGACGCACAGGCAAACAAACTGCAAGTCACAACACAAAAGAGCGAGATAAAGAAACTTGCGAGGCTGAGCTGAGTTGAGAACAAAGTTAGTTAGTGATTCTTGGCAACTTTTGATTGAGAGAGGCAATTATTATAATTGCCATTATGAGGCATAGTTACTAAACGTGGCGCAAACTTTCAATATGAATATTGCATTTACATAATATAGAAATTATATTTTAGTAAGGTGCAGCAGAGCCGTCGGGTCTATCTGGGGTCGTCATTCTTAGCCGTAGCTAAATACTTGTAATGCTAATATTATTGAAACATGATGCCGCTCCTCGCCTCGTTCCGATAGATGTCAATGTCAAGTAAATATACTGCCTATCATTGGCCATGACGTGCCATCGTTACAGCCCACCATTCGCAGCATGCGCTGTCAACATTTTGCTACTCCTGCTCCTGCTGCTGCGGCGATTGTAGCCTTTAGCTGAAGTGACACGTTGCTGCAGAGCAGCCATCAACTTGAGCTGATGCCTCATAAATGAATGTATCTTGGCGTCGGGATGACACGGCTGGAGAACTCTCAGACTCCGTCCGGGCCGTGACTGACTTGGCAACTGTAAACGAGTCATAAATACAAGTACATGCTACAGCATTTATGTACATCTCTCTGTCTGTTCGTGCTACAATTCATAAAATATTAAATACTACTTCTGCTGCCGAAGGGCTGCAGTAGGGAGGGAATGGGAGCTCGAGCTCGAGCAATGCTCAAATTAAATGATACCAAATAATGTGATTATTGCTCGTTCCCTCTGTCGTTGTCGTTGTCGCTGTCGTTGTCGTTGTCACTGTTGTTGAGCTAAGCTGAGCTGAGTACAATGACTAGGCTGCACTTCAATCTTCTGACTGATGTTGTTGCCGACTCCACTTGGGCACGCCTGATTGAGCACAAACACACACACGCGTACACGCTCACCATAATGCGGCCATGAGCATGTGTATGTGCACATATTTATATGATTTTTACCGCCTTGCCGCTTTTCCAATATCAGATACCCTCAAATCGGAGAAGCGGGGTATATTGAGCTGGTGTGAAAGCAAGCCACAGAGGAAAGCATGACCAAGTCGATAACAGTTTATATATTGTTGAACAGTACGAGGACTTTTTCATATAATCTGAAGTAAAAGGAAAATAAATTTATGAACAAATATGTACAACATTTTTATTGCAAAAATAATATTAGCAGTTTACAAATATTTCACTTTTAGATTAATAAACATATAAATAATAGATCGCCGTTTCGATTAGGATAACTCAATATCGAATATGCCCGAGTTGAGTGCCCTATATTGTTTTTCCTTGTGGCTGACTCATATTGTGCTACATATAGACATTAGCCAATGAGGAGGAAAATCAAAAGACAAATGACAACAAGGATCTTTTGAGTCGCGCTGCTTTCGCCAATTAGGTGCCTGGTCATGTGCATTGTGCATATTGCAGTGCACCAACATATCTTACATAATCAGGGTCGAAGACTAATTAAACACGCACACAGCCATCAACAGCGCACGCCACAAATCCAACATCTTTTTTCAACAGAAGACACACACACAGAGACAGCAACAACGGCAGCAGCAAGAACTCAACGGGTCATTTCGCAATTAAGCTGCACTCGCAGCAGCAGCAGCAGCAGCAGCGGCGGCAGCATTACAGCTATGTATCCGTATATATAGCATTCTGTTACTCCGATCCGAGCCCGTAACCCGACCCGTCTTCCGCCTGATGATGATGAATGAGTTAAGCGGCCGTTGCCTTGTAGCCCATCTAATGAGATACTTTTTCTGCGTAAATGTGGATGCTAGAGTATTGGTATGATAAAGCAGCGAACAGTGAAAGATAGAGAGAGGGAGACAGAGAGAGACAGGCAGAGAGAGAGAGAGAGAGAGAGAGGGCACCATGCAGCGGCACATCATGCGATGTTTCGTCTCAGCTCATCTCATTCCAATTGCACTCTAACTACGTAATCTATGGCATGCCATCGTCTATGTGCATTTGTATCTTGAGCTATCTATCTGAGCTATCTGTGTATCTACCACACACACACACACACACAGACATGTATACCACATGCGTGCCCAGGCACTAATTGCGTCTAATTGAATTGCAATTGACCGTGAGTTGGCGTATTTTCCACACGTTTTTGCCAACCGACCGACTGAGCGACCGCCAGCGAAGACTCGGACGCTTAATGAAGATTTACGCAGCTGCTTTGATTTGTGTCAACAATGCGACGCGACGGCAACGGAATAGCGGCGGCATTTCGATAGATACGCATACACATTCATGGCTTCAGTCAATCATGCTGCAGTGGCGCCAGTGGATTGCCCATGGCAAAGCAACAACAACAACAACAACAACAACAACGAGAAAGTGGACTATGACAAGCGACCATTCATGAACAATAACAAGTTGAGTAAATTGATGAGATCAAATTGCCTTTAATATCAATTCAGATTATTTGCACATTATTTCAGCTTGAATTTGAAAATAACAAATTTTAAATAAATTTCTTCCCTGATAAATAAACGTATACGGACTTATAGCGTGTTACTATACATACTATAGTCTAACCTTTGATCGATTTTTTTCTCCATTTTCTCAATAGCAAATGGTTAACTATGATATTAGTTCGGGCTGTGATTTATGTCCATCAATATAAAGAGATTAATTTTTTTCGTTTTTCTCCCGTTAGTTTTGCCTTTGTGAATCGTAGAGCATCATCTGAGAATTTTTTCGGTTTACTGTCATTTTTAGCAAGGCACAACTCAATCGGGCCATCTTGACTGAACCACTGTTTCGGTTATCCTAGCAAATGGGAATTAATGCGTACTTATGATATGGCGACTGTTTCCATGGCCCCCTACAAAGTTGCGTTAGGAGTCGCTTGCTTTTTTCCTGCAGAGCTCTTCACAAGGATTTCAGCTTAAGCACAACTTATAGTTCATATTGTCAGCAGAATCGTTATTCTGTTCCATTTTCTAATGGACATAAAAGCTAGCTGAAAGCGCATTGAAATAAAGCCATTGTTGCGTGGGAGTTTTGCATATGTATGTGTGTATATGCTCTGCGATTCTAGATGTTGTCATGCTACATGCAGCAATCAAATCTGCTTACTGCTACGTTAGCCAACACAATTTTTGCTATCCACCCCGACCGCCTTTGCCGCCCATACCTCCGCGACCGCCACCCCCTCCACCGCCTCCTGCGCCTTTGCCGTCTTCTCCGTCTTTGCCATTGCTTTTAGTGTCATTATTCTTTTTTCCAGCTGCTTCGCCAACCTGGCCACCGCCACGCCCACCCCTTCCACCTTTCCCAGCACCATCTTCGCCATCTTGACCTGCATCCCCACCTCGTCCTCCACCACCACTTCCACCCGCTCCTCCCTTGCCACCTCCTCCGCCTCCTCCTCCACTGCCTCCGGCTCCGCCCTTGCCACCGCCGCGTCCTCCCTCACCTCCACTTGCACTTGCTCCTCCAGCTAAGCGATCTGTGCTGCCAGCCATACCCAAAAGTCGAATTTTCAATTACTTGGACAGGAAACACAAACTGTAATAATATCTAATGTTGATGAAAATATTTTGTAAATGTTGAATTGAAATTGAAATTGAAATTGGCGAGTTCAGTGCTCAGATATTTTTAATTTAGTCTCAATAAATAATTAGTTATTAAATATTCTACATAGAAGGCCTTAAATGCAATACGATGTGATCCTTTTCCTTAAAAATTAAAAATAACTGATTCTATTCAAAGTCAGTTCCTCTTTAAACTCTGTTTCAGTCGATTTATAAATACCATATAAATTTGTCTAACTAAACTTTCAATAAAACAGTGAAGAACTAAAGTCCCATCACGCGAAGCTGGCTCTCTTTTTTATCAGTCTCTTCTTTATTGCGATAGTTAAGAATGCAGCTTTAAGTTCTCCTGAATTTGTACTTTGACAAATCTTACTTTATGCTGGAGTGCTGATATTTAAGGGAGACAATCAGAATTCGTCACCACAGTTAAACGCCTTTTCTTTTCGCAAATTAACAACTTATACGGCCAAAAGTTTCGCCAACAAAGTTGGCCAAAAGTTGCCAAGCACCTGGCGTCCCCCACTTTCAGCGGGCTCGACACAAAGTTGCTCGACTTGTGGCTGAGGGCGTCTTAAAGAAAATATGAAAAATCGATTGGGGAAACAAAAAGTTGGAATCTTTTCAATTTTATGCTGCGCCCGTCTTGTTGCTTTGCTGCATTCAAAATTTATGTTTACAGCTCGCACGCAAAAATAAAAACTGTATTTTTATGTCGAACGCGAATGGAATGGAGTATGAACACTTTTCCATGCAATAAAATCAAATATTGTTGCAATGTTGAGCGGGCTAGAAAACTGTCACTGATATGTCAAACTAACAAAACATAAAGCGGACATAAACAAAAATCAGGCCAAACACAGCACCGCATGGCCGCAGAGACAGCTGCCGGACCTCGGTGTCAGTCGAACTGGAGAGCAGTCATACTCCAGCCACAGCTAGGATAAATATTTAAAGTTATCTGTGGCAACTTGGCAAGTGGTCGGTCGTATGGCAAGAACATGAGGGGGCAAATTTGCCAGCGGCTGCGTCACTGCTTCTCACTTGTTTGTCTTTGCTTAATCTTTTGATAGAAATTTGTATAGCAAAGTTGTACTTTGCCTTCGAACCCTGCTCGCCTCCTTTGCCGTCCTGCCGTCTCTGTTGGTTTTGTTGTGTAAAGTTTTGTGCATTATTTTCCCAACGAACAGCAACAACAATTACTTGGCACACGCTGTTTTTCTTGCCATTGAACTTAGCAGGTGCGATGAGGTGTGCGAGATGTGTGAGACAGTGTTGCCAGTCTAGCCCATTTCAGGCTAGATCTAGCCCATTGATAATAGATCTTAGGGATGGTACAACCAGAAATTGGAGCAGACTGTGCAAAAGTGCTAGTCCTTAATAGAACTCGTGAGCGAAAGAAACTGCTGTCTATGCCATCTAATAATTATATTTATGTACATAATTTATTTAGCATATCAAGTGGTAATTCAATTGCGTGTTTGTCTGTCTCTATGTCTCCCTGTCTATCCCACAGTTTGTCTGTCTCTGGTCTCCCTCTCTGTCTGTCTAACAAGAGCAAGAGACGTAGTAGATCTACAGAAGATCATTTAAGTTGACTATATGTATGCAGCAGTATTCATTTCGTACTTATATTCAAGTAAAACGAAGCTGGAATGCTTACAGCAGCAGGAGGTGGGTCGTGTAGTACAGTAAAAGTGAAGTGAAGTGAAGTGTGTGATCGTTAAGCTAAGCATTAAAGATAGAGGATAAAAGAGGAATTACTTGGAGGAAACGCTTGCAAAAAATACTTAGAACAAATACTTGGTAGATATATTTTCTTAGTGGAAATGCTTAGAGGAAATACGTGAATGAAAGATTGGGATGAAAGACTTAGAGGAAATACTTAGAGGAAAGCTTTTATGCTACTTCTCGAATATTTTCTTCCATTATCCACCTATATTGCTATCATGCTATTACTTGCTATCATCCACAATCCAATTTATTTCGGAGCTCAACAGCTGGCAACACTGATTTGAGATAGCAGCTGGAGCTCAACTTTAAAGCGGATCAACAGCATCATCATCATCATCGAGTTATTGTCATCATTATTAGCCAACTGCCTTGTCACTGCGTCTTCTTAGCTTGAGCTCCCCGTCTTATAATTTACAATCATGTCCTGCGAACTTTGATCCTGATTTACGCACTGCGAATGCTGATGTCTGCATTTGCTTTGTACCCGCGCCCACGCGTGTTCGGCCGTCCTTTGTGCCTCTTGTTATTTACAACGTGCTCAAAGTGGCAGCAGCAACAGAGTTAATTTAGTGCCCCAGTGGCCTTCGATGGCAGCGCAAGGCTACGGAGCGTATACTTCATAACTGAATGGTCAGCCATTTGTCTAGATAATTACATGTGGCATATGTGACATTTGATTCGATTGAACACTGAGCATAAATCGAGATGGGTGTGGAGAGTGTGACGTATAAATTTCGGTATATTCAGTTATTAAAGATATTAAATTAGTTGATATAAATTATAATATGTGCGCATTATATATGCGACTCACTTGAAACTCTGTCTCATGCATATTACATTAGCTACTTCATTTAATCGCAGCTTTGCAGTTGATGTTTAAAGACTGCCTCAGCAGTATATACCCATAGATTAAATGACGGCACAACCGCAGTTTAATTAGGTCACCTCATGACCTTATCGCGTCGCGCTAGGCGACAGATCTGTGGTCAGCCGTCTGTCTGCATAATCACAGGTAACCAAATTTTGGCATTTGACTCTAATGCCTGCATATGTATGTGTAGAGTTGCGCATTCAGGCGAGCGAATCGCTTACACAAACATGAATGCATTGTAGTTCGGAAACAAAGGAGAGTTCGCTATTGAATGACAAGTTCCAGTCGGGCTGAAATCGAAGTCAGTTGTTTGTGAAGGCTCAAACTCCAATTTCAGATATTGCACACAACATTTTCAACAGACAAAAAGCAGCTTATTTAGCCATTGAGTGCAGAACTGCACAACCTGATTATCAGGCAACAAACGTAGATAAAACAAGGTGAATAACAGCAATACATCGAATCAAAAGCAAAAACAACGGTAAAGAGAGCCATATCGAAGGAGATATTTATAAGTTTTCTCGCACATTCAGATGCATCTAATATAGTTTAGATCGACTGTGTTTTCAATTTATAATTATTTTTGTTTTTTTTTTTTTTTTTTTGATAATATTTTTAAAAGAGTTACTTGATCCCTTAACAAAATATTTTATGATCATTAGAAAGAAAGTAGAAAGTAATACAAAGTTAAAATTATTCTTTGGGAATATTTGAATATATTTAGCTCTCTAATCGGTCAATTTTCATTTGATATAAGTAAAATATATAAATATAATAAATATGCTCTCTAAGCCGGAGCATGGATTGCTGTTTGTAGGGTCTGCCAGTTAGAGTGGTTAAGTTAAGAGCAGTTGCCACACAAAGGAGAGTCTTCTCATAGCATAATATTCTTTCAGATTGTATATGCATATATACCCTACACTTGTGGGCTTAACTCGATTTCCCAAATGGATCAGCTGCAAGCAGTGGCAAGTTCCAAAGAGTTGTCTATTGCTCCAGCTTGAATCCATTTCGTGGCAATTGCTTTATGTCCCAGCATACTCATTTAATTCGCTTAAGTGGAAAGCACTTTTGCTGTCAACTTTCACTAACTAGCGCAAGTTTTTTATTTGACATTAAAATGTAAAATTAATTTTGGCCAATTAATCAGAGACACCATCACATGCAGTTACACCCATCCACCCCCTCCACACACACACACACACACACACACACTCGTCCAACTTTTAGTCAGAGTAAGACCCGTTGAGCCCGACAACGCTTTGCTGCATGCCCCGAAGCGCGATTGTCAGTTAACTTTCACAAGTTGCAAGTGGATGGAAATTTTCATTGCAATTAAATTTAGCACAGAAAAGGCAAAAAAAAAGGGGGAAAAAAAAAATCACACAGAAAAAAAGAAATGTCGTGTAGCTGTCAGTGGCAAAGAGTGAAGTGCTCGCCAAAATGTTGCCATTTGCATTGCCACTTAAACACACATAAAGCCAGCGACAGATGGGCGGTGGACACACACACACACACACACACGCACGTGTACTTTCGGCCGTCGACACACAAATCGAGTCAAGTTGAATAGGCGGAAGTAGAGCAAGAAATGCGATTGCCAAATTGAGTTGAAGGTTTCGCTTGACTGTGTTTTGTTTGGCCAACTCCGTTAGCTCAGTTGCGCCCTTTGCTGTCTCATGGTAACAGCCGCAGTTCCAGTTCCAGTTGCAGTTGCCCTGGTTGCTCTGGTTCTGGCAGTGGCATTCGCTGTCGCTCTCGCTGTCGCTGTCGCTGTGCCGTTCAGAAGGCACTTGGCACTTTGCTGCAATTTTGTAGTTTTGATAAAATTTCGCAAGCATATTAAAAAGTTTTGCGCAACTTCGTTTTTACTTTTGCACATGCCATACGGCCACTGGAGGCGCGCTTGCCACGCCCCCGTACCACACATGCCACTGACAGGCAAAAGCGGAAGCTGGGCCCGCCATGGCTTGTTTGCTGCCAAAAAAAAAAAAAAAAAAAAAAAAAAAAAAAATGAAATTGTAAAACTAAAAAAAAAAAAAAAAAAAAAAAAAACTGCCAGCGGCGCACTTTGCTTTTCTATTTAATTTTGCAGCTCAAAGGCTACACAAACTAAATAGAGAGCACAAGGAGACATTATGCTTGATGGAATGTTTCAGCAATCCTTCGCTGCCACTGCAACTGCCAAAGCTATAACCATATAGCAAGCAGGCAAAACAATGAAGCAATGAATGAAAATGAAGCTGCCCTACGAAATAATTTGTAATTTTATGCATATAAATTCATTGATAATAGCTGCGAAATTAACTTCAATGCAAACATGGAT